CCAGCCGGCACTTCGAAGCCAGTGGAGCTCTCGAGAGAGCAGGCTGGATTCTCCCGGGGGGTACCACCTGTTTCTTCCGAGGCTCCCCCCGACGATCGGATGTCGGTTGCAGCATCGGAGGGTGAGCCGGACTTTTCCGGGGATGAAGATTCGTCAGCGTTGCCGCCCTCTGGGCGGCCAGCGGTGCCGGATACGGACCCGGAAATGATGGCTATGCTTTCCCGGGCCGCCGAGAGAGTCGGGCTCGAGTGGAATATTCCACCTCGTCCTGAACCCTCAAGGTTGGACGATTGGTTTCTCGGGGTGGCGCGCGCTGGTTCTCAGGGCCCCACCCCAGTGCCTTTCTTCCCGGAGGTGCATGATGAGATCACTGGGTCATGGACGGCACCTTTTACTGCCAGAAACCGCCCCGGTGGCTCATCCTCCCTCACCACCCTTGATGGGGGTCCAGCGCGGGGGTATGCGGGAGTTCCCCAGGTGGAGCGGTCGGTTGCGATGCAATTGTGTCCAAATGCCGCTACCACTTGGCGGGGCAAACCGTTGCTCCCCTCCCGGGCCTGTAGGCACTCGTCGGCCTTGATCGGCAGTGCTTATACGGCCTGTGGAGAAGCTGCGTCCGCCTTACACGCTTCGGCGTTATTGCAAGTGCACCAGGCCAAGGCACTGAGGGACTTGCACGAGGGTGGTCACGACCCGGAAGTTCTCAAAGAACTCCGCACCGCGACGGACCTTGCGCTACGAGCGACGAAGGTTACGGCGCGGTCTCTGGGTCGTGCAATGTCCACTATGGTGGTCCAGGAGCGCCATCTCTGGCTATGTCTGGCCGACATGCGCGAGACGGACAAGACAAGATTCTTGAACTCCCCCGTGTCCCAGACCGGCCTTTTCGGCGACACAGTGGAGAACTTTGCCCAGCAGTTCTCCGCTGCCCAAAAGCAGACTGAGGCCATCAGGTACATCCTGCCTCGGCGTGCAGCTGCTGCCGTCGCCGAGGGCGGCCCCCTGCCACCGCCCCCGCAGCCTCCAGCAAAGCTCGGTCACAGGGCAGCCGCCCCGCCCGTCCAGGCCCCTGCCAAACCTGGTGGCAAGCGAAAGAGCAAGAGGCCCTGAGACGGGCAACCCAGAGGTGGAGGGACCTGCTCTTCGGGAGAAGGTGAACACGGCCAGGCGGAGAATCTTTTGTTTTTTTTCCGCCACTGACTTCTCGGTCGGTGGTACCCAAATACTCGACAAAAGAACATTTTTGACACTGGAAGTGGCATTATCTGTGGCCTTTTGGTAGGGATCCCAATTCGTCGGTCATCCAACGTGATGTCGAGAGTGACCGACTGAAAGGGAACGTCTCGGTTATGTATGGTATCCCTCGTTCCCTGAAGGAGGGAACGGAGACGTCACGTCCCGTCGCCACAGCTCCTGTACAACCGCTGAGCGGCCGGGTCACCGGCTCGGCTCCTCAGCGAAAACCTGAATATGCGCTGCATCTGCTGCCTACTTATACTCACGCTGTGATCAGCGGCAGTTGGATGCAATAATCGCATGCCAATGTGCATTGGCTCGTTTAGTTTACACTCGAAGTAGATTGGTCTCTCTAAGCGAGATCCCAATTCGTTGATCATCTGACGTGACGTCTCCATTCCCTCCTTCAGGGAATGAGGGTTTACCATACGTAACCGAGACATTTTTGGTTCCCAGAATGTTAGTTTTTGGTTTGTAGAACGTTATTCTAATGTTATTATAACGTTCCCAAAACATACGTTTTTGGTTCCCAGAAGGTTAGTTTTTGGTTTGTAGAACGTTCCCATAACGTTATTCTAACATTCCCAGAATGTTGATGACACATGATAATCCTCCTGAATGTTGATTTAGTCCTCCTGAACTCAACAGTGCCCCACAAATTTAACCATGTAAATCTGTGGTGAAAAGTGGAACTGCAGCACGCTCTAAGAGCCATTTGGGCAGTTTTGAGACTGCCCCGCCTATTTTCACATGACCTTATCTCGCTCCAGACCAAGACGAGATCAGTCAGCTTCAGCTATATGTGTCTGCATCAGGTCAGAAACTAGCTGGAATGTCTGTTTTTCTTATGTGGAGTAGTGTTTTAAACTAATGAAAGTGTTATTCATTTAGTTTAAATGTGCTCACGTGAAAAGCCTTTATAAAGTTTTGTTGTGTTTGTTTTGAGATGAGACATGATATTCGTTTCCTCACTTAAATTCCTCCACAACTTGTAACATTCTTAATCAACATTCAGAGACTATATAAAGGCAATAATTTTGTAGGGGGGGGCAATCCAACCCTCTCCATTGACTTTGTATTGCGGGAAGCTGCCGCCTTGTCATTTCTGACTCATAACAAAAAAGCAGAATACATTTAAATAGTTTATTAATCATTTACTTACACTTTCTAAATGATCTTATGAACTCCTAAATAACTCGTTTGTAAATAACGTAATAATTTAGAAATGATAAACTGATCATTAATAAAGTATGAAAATACAATTATTAAATGTTATAGATATGCTCAAGAACAAAACATTTATAGCTGTATTTATAAACTGCTTACTAATGCCTATTAATGTTGGAACAATGCTTTATAAAGTATGAATTTACTATTTACTAATGCTTAACTAATGATTCATAGTGTGCAGTTATTACAAAGTGTTACCACTTTTTTTAATGTTTAAGTTTTGAATATTAACTGACAATAATACATGCTATATAATTATTGTTAATGTTAATTAATATAGTTAATGTTAATAACTGAAACCTTATTGTAAAGTGTTACTAAAGTTTTGTATATTGTTCTGTGTAAGTGTGTTTCACAGTTATATTGTTCATGTTAATTAATATAGTTAATGTTAATAACTGAAACCTTATTGTAAAGTGTTACTAAAGTTTTATATATTGTTCTGTGTATGTGTGTTTCACAGTCTTGATGGTTTGGATTAACCCTTTAATTGCCGTATCCCTTAAAATCAGTTTTCTTGATGCCACTGGCGTAGCATTTGCACTGATGGCTTGGGCCCGCCATCTCTGCTTATAGCTATATTTATATATTGTTATTGTGATGGTTACAACCACTATAGTATTTATGGTAGTCCTGTTTGGTAGGGTGAGTACGGTAGTTTCTAGCCTCGCGTCCTTTATGAATGGCATGGCATTAGCTTTTGGGTAATGGCAGCGTGCACGCTGAATGCCAGATGGGTGGTTGTGATTTCTTTCTTGGAGACCGCAATGATGGTTTATGCCAGCTTTGGAAAACAGTTGTTGTAGCTGGTACTAGGAGCTGGTGTGTGTCACTGTTTTGAATTACTATTTATGTCTGATATAAAGTATTGCACATTTGCACACGATATATTGGGGGGTGTTGAACCCTTCCGGTATTAAACCTGGGGATTCTTGCCAGGGGCATTCATCTGTAACTTCTGAGTAGGAAACTTGTTGGGTACTTAAACTTAAACATCCTTCTTAGACCAATCCATCTGAGGCTTCTAGTTTAGACGACTCCTCAGCACTGAATGCTAAAGAGATGACCTAGTACAGTGGCTCTCTACAATGCATACATCCTCATAAATGTAAATAAACTGCTTTAAAGTCATTTTTGCTTCCCTGTAAGTGTTATTAAATTATTTGACAGTTACAAAAATTAAATAAAGAAGTTACTTATTAAAGTGTGATTATAACTTGCAATTGCGACCTTAGAGTCAGAATTGCGTAATATAATGTTGAAATCGCCAGCTATAAAGATAGAATTGTGAGATATAAAAAATGTCTTCAGAATTGGACTTTATAACTCGCAATTGCAAATTTATATCCTGAAATTCTGAGAAAAAGTCACAATTATTTAATTACAATTATTTTTTATTTTAATTATTTATATGTAATTATTTTGATCAACTCTTAACAAGTGCTGAGTAGTCCTTCTAAATCAGAGTGTACAGCAGGAGATTAAAAAGAGCCCAAATTTACCATAATCCGTCGATCAGATCTAAAGATATTCCTCATAGAGCTATAACACATAAAACCAGACAGGTGCACGTGGGGCTCAGAAAAGAAAAAACTACTTTTCATGTGGCGCTTTCATTCGTAACTTCATGAAACATGCATAAACTGTGGAAAATTGCATGTTAGTGCTTTCTGAAAATTCTCCCGATTAAAAAAAGCCCAAACTTATCATAATTCGTCCATTAGATCTTCCTTATGTTGTTATAACACACATAAAACCGCTAAATAAAAACAAAACAAAGCTAATGCCCAAAACTCACCATAATCTGTCATTTAGATCTAAAGATATTCCTTGTCAAGTTATAACACATAAAACCCCAAAGCGCATATGTTATAACTTTCACATGTTTTTTTACGCTTGTCATTTCAAGAAACATGCTCTGATCGTGGAAAATATCACATCATTATTTACAGCATATTCTCATGATTGAAATGAGTCCAAAATCCAAATAATCCATTAAATCTTTCCATGAACTGAATAAATCAGTTGTAGAGCTTTACTGAACACTTGGCACGTAACATGTAAAAGCCAGCATGTTTCTGTCTATTTTATCTTTTTTATAATGTTTTTAAAAGTATAATTAGGTAACATTTTAAAGGTTAGAATTTCAGCTTTCGAATGCATCCAACCATTTTGATAAACTCTTAACGACTGCTGAGTAGTCCCTCTAAAAACCAGAGAGTACCGCCGGCGGGCGCCCCCTAGCGAAGAAAAAAATAATAATTATTATATTTTGCAAAACCACTGCCTTGATCAACACAAAATAGGTGTTATTTGAAAGCATAGAGTCTGAACTTTACAATGCATGTGGCCACTAACTCCTATGTAGTGCTGAGTTATTTGCTGATAAATAAATAAAATGTTTTCATAATTAAAGAAATATGTTTTTGTGCCATATACTTTAATGTCAAAAATACCATACAGCTCAGATAGTCATGTGTCATATGACATTTGAAAGGTCTCCAAGAGTAGAATAAAACAAGCAGGGGGCTTTGACTAAACTTGACTTTAGCATTACTTCTGTGTATGTCACTCAGAAAACAAAGTTATTTCTATAAATACAGAAAGTTTTCTATCAAACGATACCAAACTTTTGACTCTCTTTGATGAAGTCTTGGAGTTACAGGGTTTCTGCAGGATTTTTAAGCTGAAATTTAAGACTTTTTAAGAACTGCACAAGTAAAATTAATACCATATGAGCGGGGCAGAGCAATGTCTAAAGTAACATATTAAACTGTAAAATAACTGTAAAAAGCATGATTTACAGTTCAGATACAAGTTTTCACAAAAACAAAAAGTTATAAAATTATACACTTCACATCAGAATCAGAATCAGAATCAGAATGAGCTTTATTGCCAGGTATGTTTACACATACGAGGAATTTTTTTCGTGACAGAAGCTTCCACAGTGTAACAGAATGACAGTGACAGAACAAAAAACACAGATAATAAAAATAAAAATAGAACAAGTAAATAAGGAATAAAAAATATACAAATCGACAATTGTTTATGGCCTTAAATTTGATACAACTAAATTTAAGACATTTTAAGACTTTTTAAGGACCCGCAGGAACCCTGGGTTATGAGTCGTTATTTTTGTGTATGTCACTCAGAAAAAACACCTTCAGGGAGGCAAAAATGACTTCAGGGCTTAAAGAGTTAATTTAGTTGTGGAAACAAGCGTACATATTATCCTGAGCTGAGATATTGAGGTTTCTGTAAGCACCTGTATAACCAAAATGTGTTGTGCACTATGGTACAAATACAGATAGAGGGAATCGCTCAAAATGTGGAATTTCTGAGTGATTTTAATTAGGAAAATAAATAATAAAATGGTCAAGCCACCAATTGGACCGCTTGAGATGGACTGACTTGTATTTCTCAATTCACCTTAACTTTTTATTCCTAGTACACTGCAGTTCTTCAAGGGTTTAAAATGTGCACATGTGTTGGCAGTGAGCATGGATAAACCAGTGTGCTTCATTGACACGGGCTCGGATGGGAAGCTGCGTGTGCAGCAGTCGGCGCTGCAGATCCTGCAGCAGATCCAGCAGCCGGTGGTGGTGGTGGCCGTGGTGGGGCTCTACCGCACCGGGAAGTCCTACCTGATGAACCGCCTCGCTGGGAAACAATCAGGTCAGCGCTCATAGCTCACCGCAAACATCATGCAGTTCAAGTGAATGACATTACAGGCACTAAAGTCACTGTCGTCATCAGGGTTTGCACTGGGCAGCACAATAGAGTCCAAGACGAAGGGCATCTGGATGTGGTGTGTGTCCCATCCCACTAAAGAAGGAACCACTCTAGTGCTGCTGGACACCGAGGGACTCGGAGACGTGGATAAGGTGACCTAACAAGAAAACACAACTAGCATCACAAGCAGTTTCATGGGTTCAAGAATACTTTCACCATAATAATATAGAAACTGCAGTGTAA